CAGCAGGTGTAGGGGTCCTGATGGGCTGCAATCTGTATTATTCAGACTAATGTCTCCAGAGGACACATTAGCACCTTAGCATCTGGGTATCTCTGTGCCACACGGTTACAGCGCTGAACACAGTACACTCTGCCAGAGAAAGCCACTTTGAGAAAACACGATTCTCCTTGGTGATGACAGAGCTGAAAGGATGTGCAGACCCCAGGGGGCCGGGGTGGCTGAGGGCAGGGAACTGCAGCAGTGCTGTGTCCCAACGGCCCTGCAGTAGCTGTGCCCTGCCACCGCGCTGGCACTCACGCTGCCCCTTTGCCTGGGAGCTCAGCTGCCAAGCCAGCATGTGGGGGACCCTGCTCCCATGGGGCCACAGCATCCCCACCGTGGCACAGCCCAGCTGGAGTCACCTGGGCAGCAGCCTGCACTCCCATGTCCCTCTGGCAGCCACTGGCCCCCCAGCTAGCTCTCCTCATCCTCCTAACCCTGCCAGGCAAGTGGTGGCCGGTTATTGCGTTTGAGCAGTGACTAATAAGAATGATATAAACATGCTGTTCCCTGGAGCCTAAGAAGGCTGCCCCGGGGGAATGGAGTTGGTCTGTGGGAGCATCCTGTCCCCACCAGGATTTAGGGAAGTGGCTTTCCCATATCCAGCCGGGCCACAGATACTGAGGTAAGAGGAAAGATGGGAAATTACAGTCTCCTTCAAAGAATCAGATGGAAAGGGACATGGGGGACCTTTCTGAATCACAGCTTCCAAGCCTGTTAGCACAACTTCCTCTGTTCTCTGTTATTTTTAGTGGCCCTGTCTCGGTTGGGCAAAGACAAACCACAGTGCGGTGCTACATCAAAGAGGGTTGTCCCTCCTTTGACTCAGGGAAGTTGGGTGCCGTAAGGCCCCCAGACCCTTGCCCCTATACCACATGCACCTCTCTCCTTCCCTGGCACAGAGGCTTGGGGGGACTTGGTGACCCCCACGCAGCAGCAGCTGGCACAGGGGTGGGATGCAGGGGAAGAGCAGGCACGCGAGTGGGCTGTCGCTGCCACTGCGGAGGTGTGAGCTCCATGCCCAGAGCAGGCACACTGCCCAGGAGCTCTGCAGGCTGATGGAAAAAAAAATAAATATGTGTATCTCACCGGAGACCTTTTCTCTGACCTTCAAAGCTGCTCAAGGCCAGACAGCGCTGCTTCAAAGATTTTCTGCCTCACCCACTGCTGTGGCCGTGACACCTGCCCTCCTCTCTGCCTCTCCCCTCTCACCCCGGTCAGGAAACTGATTCCCACTGTCGAGCACTGCCAGCACGCCCCTTCCGCAGCCCACTCCGGGGATTTTTTAGTGGGTCGCACCCTGTGCACAGGCAGAGTCATGCTATAAACAAGTGCTGAACTAAACGAACTATTCTCCCCCAAACTCTTCCCAAATCTGCTTTGCTGTGTTTCCACAACACTTGGCAGTTCTCAGGTGAGACGCGCACCTGAACCGGCTCCCCAGGGCCCCCCAGCCCTGCCTTTGCACGGCGGACACCCGAGCAGGACCCCGCGCTGCGCTCGCAGGCTGCGCGGGGCTGCGGGACACCCGCCCAGGGAGCAGCCCCAGGACACCTGCGCGCCCAAGAGCGGAGAGAAGCCGACTTGCCTCCCTGTGCTGGCCCAGGAGCACCGCACCTTTTCTGTCACCGGCACACGGCGTCCCGAGGCCGGGGGCAGGCGAGGGAGGGGCCGGAGC